CTGCTGCAGTCTCCATGTTACATTTGCTCAGCCACCATCTCTTACAAAGAGCCTCACTATAGACATACCTCAGATGTTTTGCATTCAGTTCTAGACCACTGCAATAAAGTAAATATTGCAGTAAAGCAAGTCACATGAATTTGTTAGTCTCCCAGTGCCTATGAAAATTATGTTTACACTATCTTGTAGGCTGTTAAGTGTGCAATAAATAGCATTATGTCTTTAAAAAATTTATATACTTTAATTAAAAAACACTTTGATGCTAAAAAAATGCTAACCATCATCTGAGCCTTCAGTGAGTCATAATTTTTTTGCATAACAAATATGATAATAATGAAGAAGTTTGAAATGTTGGGAGAATTACTGAAATGTGACACAGACATTAAGTGAGCAAACGCCATTAGAAAAATGTACTGATAGACTTGCACGAGGCAGGGTTGCCACAAATCTTCAATTTGTGAGAAACACACTATCTGCAGAGCACAGTAAAATGAGGTATGCCTATAGTTCCCTTTTGTTTCAAAGGAATACATATTGCAAAGGTGAGTTGCAGTTCTAAGATTTTTTAAACTCTAAAGAGTTGTAGTTTTAAGATTTTGTTTTTAATCTGTAAGTTTTGTTTTGTTTTGCTTTGTTTTCACCCTAAATCTGCATTCTTTGAATCACATCCAGACTGCTAAGGGCTTCTTAAATCTTATTTTTGCTTTGTACGCTTACCCCACTTCAATTATTATGGACCCAGTAGCATCTTCATGGCGGGTCATAGACTATTTGCAGTAAAGTACATAATTCTTATTTATGATTCTAGTGGGAACTGCCCTTCCAGCACAATCACTAGACCCCAGCAGTTAGGGGAGTGTGCTTGCACCCTGCCCCAGTAACCCTTGGTCCGTGCTTACAGTGTGGAGCATAAGATGACTACAGATACAGGGAAGGCCGGATCCATCGCTGGGCTCACAAATATGTTGTCTACTCTTTAGAGCTACATAATTCCTGAGTTCACCAATCACTGCTCTAACGTTCCACTGCTTCTGTTGGCTGAAAAGACTCCACACTTTGATTACTTCGTAGTCTTACTAACTGCCACCACCTTCAAACCTTCTGTCACTTAGGGAATGTCCAGATAACCTAGGACCTCTTCTAGTCTGGTTGTCCTACTGTTTATGTTCGGTCCATCTGCTCAAAGGGACGTCATTACTGACCTATCACTTAAAGGCTTCCGAATCCTGGTCAAGGACGTCACCCAAATCCTCCGGCTGGCCTTCATGCCAGCACCACCTTCCCCTCTTTGCTGCTTGCGTGTCAAGCTTGGTGTTCCTAGCTCAGCAGATCCACCAGACACTTCAAGAATCTTAAGACT